TCGGCCAGTACGGGGCTACTAAAAGTAGGCTAATACCGTCTCGACGGACCCTCTCCAGAATTCCCGGGAGCAGAACAATCGGGGGAAAAGCGTACAGGCGTAGCCTCGGCCACGTCTGTACCATGGCATCCAAACCCAATGGGGCTGGACGAGTGAGAGAATACCACAGTGGACAGTGGGACGTCTCTCAAGACATGAACAAATCCACTTCCACTGGGCCAAACCTCACTCACTTCACCACCTCGGTGTGAAGTCTCCATTCCCTGGGCCTCAGCCCCTGCCTTGACAGGATGTCTGCTCTCTGATTCTGGTCCCGTGGGACGTGCATTGCTCTGAGAGATAACAGTTTCCCCTGGGACCACAGGAGGATCTGATGCGTCAATCTGGATAGAGGGCGCAATCTCAGAACCCCCTGAAGAATCAACTAGGAGATCACCGACACATTGTCTGCATGGTGACCCCTGAGGTCTGGGAGGAAGCTCCTCAGAGCCCTAACTGACCGCGTCCCGGCTCGTGAGGGAGGCGTCTGTCGAGAAGGATTTCAAGCGACATGACGCTCCCGGCACGGGGCCTTGGGACAGAAAACAAGCTTTCTTCCACATAGATAGGGAACGAAGGCATCTGCGCGTAACCCTGATCATGCGGAATGGGATCCCCTTCGGGGAGAACCCCTTGGTTATCAACCACCACTGCAGGGCCCTCATGTGCAGCAGGCCGAATAGAATGGTGTTGGATGCTGCTACCATGAGTCCTAACACTCTCTGAAAGTGTTTGACAGTGATGGCTTGGCCTAGCTTTATTCTGGTCACCAATGGCCAGGATGGACTCAATCCGTGCAGGAGACAATTGTGCCCGCATCGTGACCGAGTCCCACACCACTCCCAGGAACATGGTTCTCTGGCTGGTGCCAACACGCTCTTTTTCGTGTTGAGTCTCAAACCCCAGGCTCTGGATGTGGCAAGGACGATATCTCGATGCCAAATTGCCAGCTCTTGTGACTGGGCCAAATCAGCCAGTCACCCAAAAGCCTCAGTGGTGCTAGAGCTGCATCCATGCATTTTGGTAAATGTGCAAGTGGAGAGAGCTAGGCCGACCGGAAGAACCCGATATTGGTACGCTTCGCCTCCGAAAGCGAACCTCAGGAACTTCCTCTGAGCTGGAAGGATGGATATGTGGAAGTATGCGTCCTTCAGATCTATTGTGACAAACCAATCCTCGGATTGAATTTGATTCACGATGGTGAGCATCTTGAACCTGAACCTCCTCAGAGACTGATTCAAGTGCCTAAGATCTATAGCAACCCCCCATCCTTCTTGGGAACTATGAAGTAGCGGCTGTAATACCCGGGCTCCTGTCTGACGGAGGAATACGTTCTATAGCCTCCTTTACCAGCAGGGAGTTTACTTCTTGTTCCAATACCCGACCCTGCTTTGGGTCGCCTACAGTCCAGACCACCCCGTTGAACTTTGGTGGATGGAAACTGAACTGTAGTCTGTACCCCAAAGGAACCAGCCTCTCGAAACTGGCTTCGGGTATCGTTCATTTACATTTAGTCATTTAGCAGACGCTTTTATCCAAAGCGACTTACATCTGAGGACTAAAGCAAGCGAGTCATCGTGAAGAGGGAAGAACGACGCAAGAAGTGCTCAAAATACAAAGTTCAGGCATTGCTCAGAGTAGCAAAAGCCAGACAAGGGAAGATCTAAAAGGGAAGGAAAGATTTAAAAGAGAAGAATTTTTTTTTTTTTTTTTTTTGTTAAGTACTCACGGAAGAGATGAGTTTTCAGTTGTCTTTTGAATGCTGTCAGGGATTCTGCATTACGGACGAGGGTGGGGAGATCATTCCACCAGCATGGAACCGTGAATGAGAATGTTCTGGAGAGTGATTTAGTGCCTCGCTGTGATGGCCCCACGAGCCGTCGCTTCTTGGCCGATCGTAGGCTTCTGGTAGGGACGTAGACTTCAAGATTCGTTCTCGATCCCCTGAAGCGGCTCTCGGCAGGGTTTGGTCGAAACGATTCTCGATGTGCAGACGCGAGCGCTGCCTGGCCGTAAGCCTGTGGGGCAGACAGAGCAGCACGCGTTCGCTGGAAACCGATGTGTCCCGAAGCGCACTTACGGCGGGATACAGACAACGATTTCCTGAGGGCTCCCCAGATGGGAGGCTCTTTCGGTTTCGTCCTTGACACCCTGAAGCGGAAGACCGGCAGAGAATAATCGAAAACAGTTTCGATGTGCGGACGCACACACTGCCTGGCCGCAAGCCCTTGTGGCGGACACTGCAGCGTGCATTCGCTGAAAACCAATGTGTCCCGAAATGCACTTGACAATGGATACAAACATTGATTTCCTGAGGGCTCCGCGGAGGAGCTATTCTCGCTCATCCCTCCACGGGGAGGACAGCCCTGCTATTTATTTATGTCTTGTTTTCGATACCCCGAAGCGGAGGACCGGCAGGGAAAAAATTAAAACGATTCTCGACGTTCGCTGCTCATCATTTTAATTCCTCAGAGTTAAATGCAGCCATAAACATTGGATAATGGTAGGCTGAATTAAAATATCTAACTTCTTAAAGTGAGATAATATTCCATCATTTAAATTTCATAGAATTAAATGCCGCCATAATCACCAAACAATACTGTTTTAATATTATTTCCAGTCTCGTAATCTACACGCTGCCTCGGCAAACGCGAGATTCGAGTCATTCACAATATATTTGGCCTTCATCTCCCGAGAAGAAAGTCAACGGGCGCGAGGCTGAAACACCCGAAAACGCACCGCTGTGTGCGTCGAGATATTTCCCTCAGGAGCTGACTGTGAACTAGAGGTCTTCACGGGTCCACTTGGATCCGAAAACCCGAGGTCCGACCCGAGACCCGAGTGGGTTCGGGTCCAAAACTCCGAAGAGTGTCTCGGACACGGGTTGGGTTCGGTATTAGTGGCCTCGGGTCTCGGGTAATTAAAAATAAATATACCTTTTCCAAATGGACCCGAGAAGACCCGAATTCTTTTAAACTATGTTGGGCATTTAAAATTGCAGTATTTAAAACAACTCTATGACACCGTTCTCTCACTTTTTCTAAGTGAGAGAGTGAATCCGCGCTTCTACGTGCAAATGGGCTATAAGCATAAGCACGGTTGCCTCCGCATTTATTTACTCAGTTGCTCGCTCCACATAAACCAACCCCTCCCTTTGCCAAGAAGAACTAGTGCGCCGTCATGTGGATGGATGTTTGACTAAATGCAAGTATTTGAATTGTCGTTTAGCCAGGCCTGTCAATATACCCGACACTGTCAGAAAAGCATGGAGGCGATAACAGAAAAATGTCAGGGAAAACGAAAGGTGGTTCTAATCATCGTATGGTCCGGTAAATAACATTATGCCAAATGTTATAGGACGTAATGGGTTACAGTGATGTGTGATTGACATTTTAGCACTTCAGCGCGCTTACACTTGCGCGTCTATGTTAAGTGCATTTTTGAGAACACAGGGCTGCTGTGCACAATGTAAATGCCGTTTACGTTCGGGTCCAGTCGGGTTCTAAAGGAAATGGCGTCAGGTCGGGTCGGACTCGAGTCTAATTTTATCGGGTCTGTCTCGGGTCGGGTTTTTCTTTAAAAAAATTAATTTATGCACGTCGGGTTCGGGTAAGTAGTGATTCGGGTCTTTTCGGGTTGGGTACAGTTTTTAGGACCCGAGAAGACCTCTACTGTGCACGCCTCGCACCCACACAGAATCTTTATTGCTGAGTAGACCTGTAATCTACTCGCTGCCTCGACAAACGCGAGATCCGAGCCACTAGATTCAATATTGCAATTATTTAGGACAATTCTTATGGGACAAACAACACCAAATAGGACAGACAGTTTGACACAGAGCGCTTGCTGAAGAGCAAAAAGCTAACTCTGTTGTGTGCCGGCGTTCCTTTGTAGCTTCCGTCCGTGTATGCCGTCACGTTACGTCATGGAGCAGCACCAATCAGGATTGGATTAGTTTCATTCATACTTCAGATGCGTTACGTTAAGGGCGTTCCCCGAAGTGTCGTAGTCGACGCGGTTCGAGTTCCTTTGAAAGAGAACTGGAGATTTACTCAGTAATTTGTACAAGTTCATTGAGGAAAAACACAGACGGGATTAAAATTACAAAGTATGTCTGTGAAACACAAATCAATCTCCAGGGAAAACTAGTGCTTTCAAAACTGGGCTGAAATTCAAAAGCAGGAGTGGTGGACGACAAACACCATTACATCTCGCTTCCATCGCTTTGATTACCAGTATTAACTCGTGACCAACCCAAAGCAGAAAACTGAGGGAAACACACTGATGTGAGAGAAGAAACAGTTATGAGAGGTAGATCAGTTTAATAATGAGACAACCAGACAATGAAACAACAACCAGGTGAGACCAAACATACAGGCCTTTTAAATGTGTGACAGACAGACAGTAAAATAAACTAGTCCTCATGAATAAACTAAACAGAGATAAATCAGTCAAAAACCATCATTCTGTCATCATCTACTGTCCCTCGTGTTGTTCTAAAAACCTGTATGACTTTTTGATATTTTGATGAACATTGGGAACAAAACAACACAGACATTCAGTGAATGATATTTCTCAGAAATGAACGTCATACGGGTTTGAACAGTGATGACAGAACAATCGTTTCAGTTAAACAGATGAGAGAATGCTTGAGTCAATAAATAGTGATATAAAACAGACAAACTGGTTATATTACTGCATCAGAAAACCACTCAGATCAATCAATCAACGCTGAGGAACAGAGCAGATCTAACACTAAACGACTGAATAATTGCCAAACAATGAGAATGACCACAGAACGAGAGTCTGCGCATTCTGAACACAAGCATTTCATCATGTCAACCCCAGCGAGAGCGAGACAGAAGAGCGTTACCTGTGTCCGGGAGGTCAGAGGTCTTCAGACAGCCGTACAGTAAGATGAGAGGGGGACATACAGTAAGAGTGAGAGAGAGAGAGAGAGGGAGAGAGAGAGAGACCCACAGATCTGATTCCTCACTAAACAAAAGAATGGAAAACGGAATGAACCATACCTTGGCTGTTTAACGTCAGGTGCGCCAGACCTTGAAGGAAAGAACAGAAACAAAAGAAAGAAATGAAAAAAGAAGAAGGTCATAAAAAGGCACGGGAAGAAATCAAGCATTGTCACAAGGTTGGACTGCAGTTTGTGACAGACATCCCGGGGCACGCGTGGATGTCAAAGATCAACTCAAAGCAAAAAGGGAAAAGAAAGAAGAGAGAGAGGGAGAGAAAGAGAGAAAGAGAGAGAGAGGAAATAAAGTCTGAACCAAACAAACAAACGAACGAACGAACGAGTGAACGCTTCTTGAGTGAGGTGGGGTTGGAAAAAAAAGCATTTCATTCAGTGCAACCCCCGAAGGCCATTGCTCGCTCAAATGCTTTTTTCCCCTCTGGTCTTATGGAAACACACACACACACACACACAACTGTTTGGCAGAGTTCAAGAGCGTCTCGTCTGCTCACATCTGAAGCATTCATCTACAACCGCTCCGTTCCGACTCAAACACATGATTATACGTGCTAAAACCGCCCGGTCAGCTCGACACCACCCGCGGACGGCTCCACCAGTGCTCTTCTGACTGGACCACGCTGCTATCCTCACATCTATCAATGCTCCTCAGTTTCGGCTCAAAGAACATATCAACATAACATGAAAACAAAAAACGGAAACTGAATGAAAATTACAAGTGCTGCCTTGGCAACTAATTGAAATACGTTTATGTAGAAGCACTGAAATAACCTACGGCAAATAAATAAAAACTAAAACTCAAATGAAAATAAATTAAGCCTTAATAGCAACAATTCAAAAAGAACAAAAGCACATAACAAATTACACAAGGTTACATTAGTTAACAAACGTGTTAGTTTAGAAGTACTTCAAAAGCATTTAGTTAATGTAATTTTACTCATACATGATTGAAATCAAAGGTTGGATCTGAGCTGACATGAACTAACAATTTTTAATAAATAATGCATTAACTAAAATTAACTAATTGACCTTGTTTTAATGTGTTACCAGAAATAACAAAAAAAATAAATGAAAATATATATATATATAATATAAAAAAGCTAGTTCAAAATATTAATAAAAACGATGATTGCGTATAAATGATAGTAAAATACACTGGACTGGCCCAATGCAAACACGGCAGCGCAGGACTCACTATAGTTGTGTTCGAGGCTTGACACCAGAACTGTTTACTCAAGTAGAACTTATAAATGTGATCATGTGATGTTTTCTTGAGGATGTCCATGTTGACGTCCACCTCATGTACTATCACACATCAACAACCAATCATACGCCTGCGTTTCTCCACTCTTTTAAAGCAATGTTGTACTTCTTTTGCTCCTCGAGATCCATTCTTGAGTCGCGACCCACCTGATGATTCGTGTGAATCCAGCAAACTGGAGATGAAGTCATGAACACGTCTTCTGCAACACAAAAGGGTTTTTACATTCAACACCTGCAGAGACGCGAGAACCTGCGGCTCTAAAGACATCCGGTGCTCGGCACACACTCACTGCATTTAAGGAGAAGTTACATCCAACAAATCAACACCCGAGACAATAACAAACAGCTCTTTTCTACTCGATAGAGTACATGTCAAAACTCACACGCTACTGTCGCCCACAAACCCTGGACACGCCAGCACACGGCCGAGGCAGAAGCAGCATGTGCTGAACCCAGCGGGCGAGGGCTGTTCTTTTAGCAGAACGCTGGTAATGGACACGAGCACAAGAGAATCACAGAAGAACAGGCTGAAAACACACAAACGACAAGAATCTCCCGGCCAAACCTTTAGCCACACACACACACACACACACACACTGACTCAAAGCAGAACTTCCTCTTCCAGTACAAATCTGACAACCTGCCTTTGATATCTATCTATCTATCTATCTATCTATCTATCTATCTATCTATCTATCTATCTATCTATCTATCTATCTATCTATCTATCTATCTGTCTGTCTATCTATATCTATCTATCTATCTATCTATCTATCTATCTATCTATCTATCTATCTATCTATCTATATCTATCTATCTATATCTATCTATCTATCTATCTATCTGTCTATCTATATCTATCTATCTATCTATCTATCTATCTATCTATCTATCTATCTATCTGTCTATCTATATCTATCTATCTATCTATCTATCTATCTATCTATCTATCTATCTATCTATCTATCTATCTACCTTTTTAAGCATTTTTCAAAAGACAAAATGCTCCCTTTTTTTGTTAAACACCAGTCAATCAGAAAATATGAATTTTTAATTCATTTCAAATCTACCTTACAGTCACATTCATACAGTAGTTCTGTATCGGGTTCGATACGACACTCGGTTCAGTCCTGAACGAAGCAAGACTCAAAACTCTCTCATTATTTCTAACTCTATGAAGAAGACAGAAGAAGCGTGCGCTGACCCGCTCTGGGATTACGTGGCCTACCACTTCTTGGCTGAGTTGCTGTTGTTCCCAATTGCTCCCACTGTGTTATAATAGCACTAACAGTTGACCGTGGAATATTTAGTAGCGAGGAAATTTCATGAATGGACTTATTGCAGAGGTGGATACCTATCACGGTACCAGGCTTGAGTTCACTGAACTCCTGAGAGAGACCCATTCTTTCACAGATGTGCAGAAGCATTCGCATGCCTAGTGCGTGATTTATACAACTGTGGCCATGGAAGTGATTGGAACGCCTGAATTCAATGAGTATTTCTCAATACTTTTGGCAATATAGTGTGTTTAGGGCCTTCAGAATCCACACACGTGGTGCTCGAGCTCCTGTGTGTGAGATAATGCGATGCATCTGTCCGAGTGTTCAGCTTTCTCTTCACCGTGCTGACCTTCTCCACAATGACCTCCTTCTGCTCATCTGAATTATTTTGCATATATCTGTAATTGCTGCATTTTGGCTGCTCTGCTTTCCTCTTCAAACTCTCCCGCTTGTTTCCAGAGTAAACTCTTTCCATCAGCAGTTCTCAGGTCGGATCTGTCGGGATTGAGGACAGAAGGGGAAGAAACAACCCCAAACGCAAAAAATAACATGCAAATCATGTTTAGTTAGGATAGAAAACACAGGAAAGGTCAAATAAATTTAATAGAGGTTAAATAAACGTCACTGTGAAGTGATAGAGGAAGGAAAGCCGGTTGAGTGTTGAGTGGATGTGGGTATATAATCTAATGTGCATTATAAGATTATGCTTGGGTTTTAAAAGCTACAAAAAGACTCACTTGTTGAAAAACAAGGTAAAATCTGTCCGCACTTTGACGGCATATTTTTTGCAGAATATTTCACCCAGAGTTCCCTTTTGCCCCAAAAACAGCAACAGAAAGAGAAAAACACGGTGGCGATGACAGAATATGGAAATGCTGCGCAGCGGTTCTGCTTGTGCTGGCAGACGAGTGAGAAAAAGAGCAGTAAAGCAGGCCGGAAAGTAGAACAGCCAAACAATTACCGCAAGTATGAATTATGAATTAGACTCACTTGGAGGACGGTGTCGATTATACTCTAAAATCATCAGTCCTCCTACGGCTGATGACTCAGAGCGGCCAACAGGTGGGTGACAAGAGCTCGCTTACAGCAGAGAGAGAACAAATCAAATCAATAATACAATAAATATCAAATAAAATGTAAAACAGAAAAATAAATATAGAAATTTTATTCAAAATATGAAATAAAGAGCAAAACATATAAAATAAAAAATGAAGAAAATAGAAATATAAAATAAAAACATATATAAAGAATTATTATATAACAAAATAAACATAAAATAGATTATTAAAAAAAAATTAAAAAAATAAAACCAAAGAAAATTTAAAACAAATTAATTAAATTAAAATTAAATTAAAAATAACAACAAATTAAAATAAATTAATAAAATGAAATAAAGTGCAAAAATATATAATCCAAAATTAAATAAAATGTAAAATATTAAATAAAATACAAATAATTGTTATCAAAAAAATTAACTAAATGCATTATAAAATAATAATAATAAAATATATTAAATAACATAAAATAAAGGATAAATAAATTAAAATAAATAAAATACAAAAAAAATTAGAATGGGCTAAACTGATTTATGACAGTTTTTGGCTTTGTATCTCGGATGTGTTAAAACTACAGAACTGACAATTTCATGCATTAATGCGGTACGATCAATTATAAAAATAAAAAAATCTAACAAAATCAAAAATGACAGCTAAAACATTTAGCTACATTTTGTAATAAGGGCCCCTTGTCCAATCAGAGCAGTGTTTAATTCGTATGAAGATATTAGTCAGCTGACAGTGCTAGTTATAATATAAGATATAGGCGGCGCTGGAGGACGACGAGCTCTTCTGACGGCAGATGAAGACGTTTCCCTGACGAGGACACACACACACACACACACACACACACACACACACTGAACTCGAGGAACAGAGCCAGGATCTGAGGATCTGCCGTCTGATTGGCCATATGGGAGAGCGACGCGGCCAACGGCGACACGGGAGTCATCGCTTTCACACGTCTCACACACACACACACACACGTCTCACAGCCACACGCCATCAACAGATGACAGACCCTGCCATGTGCTTCACAATCAACACACTAATAATAGAGCGGAAGTGAGTCTCTCACACACACACACACACACACACACACACACACACACACACACACACACACACACACACGATCTCAGTGCATTCATAACAGGGCTGTGTTCATATTCATACTAGAGCGGATCTCCAGCATCTTGCTAATAATTAAGACTTCAGCGAGCCAAGCGTCTGATTGGCTGGACGGATTGAGTGACAGCTGGAGAAAGACTCATCAGTTTGTCATTAAGGATGTGTTTGGAAACTCAAAGACTGGAACAGCTGGAGCTTCGGTCCTGAAGACGACGAAACACACTCTCGTCCAATAGCATCAGTGCGTTAGTCAATAATAATGTGTTAAGAGTTATTATTGTAAAGCGCTACCACTGTTGTTCAGTTAATGGCATATAGGATAAAACACACACACACACACACAC